GGAACAATAATACAATACAAAATACATAAACAGAAGTTACCTATACTTATACAAAAAATGTATGATAATAAATGTGTATACGTTCATGAAGCCTACCTGACAATTTAATTTAATAGCATTGACAATAATATGACTGTATGACTTAAACCATAAAAGTGCAATCTATTACAATTTTTACCTTGCGTAAACAATATGGTGTCCGTAAATGCATTTATCATTTAAAATGAACATTGCATCCTTTGTTAGTTGTCACAGAAGTCTGCCGCTGTTGTCACTTGTCAACGACCCAATGACAACACCACCTGACTTATATATTATTGGTGTACATTGGGATTACGCGATAGTGCTGGCATTATGCTCTATGTACATTAAGTTAACCGATTTTCGATTGTACACATCAACTCAAAAACGTTATTTAAGCCAAAAATATCATATGATCAAATATTAAACCGGTCAGTTTATTAGTAAAATGTTCGCCACAAGTTGTGAAATATAAGATTTTTCTTATGAATTTATATACCTAACCAGTCCCTGCAGTGGTAGGCGTCCCGTCACCTGTAAGTCCTGCTACAGGTATATTTACCTGCTAGGTGCAATTTGTCATTAGTGTCTGGAGCGGGTAGGAAGACGTAGTCACGTACAGTGGAATGTCGACTTACTTTCCGTGACACACATTGTGTTCGGATGTCGAGGATATACTCAATCAATATCACATGGTCAACTGCAACAATGTTTTATATCTCGTAGCCAATACAATTCTTAGTATTTTCTGTACGCTTATATTTGGCGGCAGACATTGAGTAGCTGTCAGCAGCATCAGAATCGGAGGCGAACCCTGTCAATGCACTATGGTACACAGGTGCGTGGGATGGGATTTTATTGAACAATTCAGTACGTGATTGAAACCAAGTTACGATGATAGTGTGAAATAGTGTTACTAGTGTATAGTGAGCGACGTCGACTAAGACATCATTAAGTGGTGACGTCAAGGGAACTGACTTTCTAATGTAAGGTAGGTTTACCTGCAATGTACAATGTACAATGTACGCACATGCATTTGTCATACTACACACAAAATATAGTTGATTTAATTTATAAAATAATCAGCTGTGATTTTATGTAATGCTATTATAGTCTGGTTTCTAACATATGAAAGCACGAGCGCAGCTAGTCCGGTGATATTAAAGGCAAGTCCGGTAATATAAGCACGTGCGCTAGGGGAGATCATTCGCATTGGCTGAGAGTGTCTTTCGAAAATCCCGCGTTTGACAAATTTGTTCATGTAAGATCGGCTTATATTAAATTAAGTTCCAGTGTATTCATGACATAACCAATTATGAGTAATGTGTAAGTGTGTGTGAAAGTGTAAATCACAAAATCGGTCTTATCGTTTGTAATGGAGGGAAGTATTGGTAATTGGTAATGATTGTATACAAATCCCCAACCTTACAGCTAGGATCGAGACCTTAAACTGAATTTCATTTTATAGCTCATATTCCGGAGAAAATTACATAAAAGGTGGTGATTTTTCGCATGGATTTTCGTGTCAGAGGTACATTGTATATGGTTAAACATATCCAAGAAATTCAGTAAAAACCCACTTGTACGGTACACCTGATACAGTTGTTTGCGTGTCATATGCAATGTTTTATGCCATTCATTGCAAAGACAGGCTGTTTAGGCGTGACGGTGGCAAATGGGTTCTTTGTAGCTAGCCCTTGTTCGGAGTGGATTCATTGAGGACGGGTCCAGGGCGGGGCATTGGTAGGGGACAATGGGATGCAAAACGCAGTGATTTTGTTTTGTTTTGTTTGAAAATCTGGTTGATTCGCTTGCGTACCGGCGTATAGGCAAATCTCCACGCCTGTGTGGTATAAGATGGATGGGATATACTTTAAAAGGCTTTACCTTGCCCCGAATTGTGCAGTCAATTTGAGAATCATGACATGACCGCATACACAATTGTACTTATTATGGGCCCTTATTGTCTGGTTCTTTTATTATCAATACATTAAGACACTTAAAAATGTACATAACACTAATAGTTTTCCTTTTTGTATTAATCGAACTTTAAAATAAAAGTGAAATATTGCCAAAAAATAACTAGAGCCCATCTTTAATAATGATGAGGCACGATGTTTAATTTAATTTTGATTTAATCTCAACAACAAGAAGATATGAATTTAAGCTTGGAGTAAATAGGGATGTTTAAATTTGAATTTGATTGAAAATAAACCAACGCGACACTGGCCTGTATACATCATTACGTTTATATTAAGGATCCCCGTCCCACTGCACTGTGATTTTTCGTATATACAGTAACTTTCCCTTAAGGATCCACGTATCACTGCCAAAACTCTAGATACACAATGGAAACTGTTTTCCGCTTCATTACTTGTATAGCTTTGATAAAATCTTTTTTTAAAAGAAAACCATACCTTGCCGGAGTTTTGTGAAAAAAACTTTAGGAAGACAAAATAAATAAAATATAACCAATAACAGTGTACTTGAGCGTTAATTTTCGGCGAATCTTTACCGGGAGATTCGAACCCAGGACCATCAGATTGTTAGACTGACGCTCTAACCGTCTGATCTACCTGGTCAACGGAAGTGTCCTGGCCCAACAGTACTATAGTTACATCCAAAACAAAATTAAGGGGAGGTTACTTTACATTCAACAACGAGAGTGTAGTGGGACAGGGATCCTTAACTGTAGTATAGTTGGACCAGGACTCTTCCGATGACCAGACAATTCAGCCGGTAAGTGCAATAGTAAAGCAATCTGAAGTCAAAGGTTCGAACCCCAGTCTAGCTCCGATGACCTTTTTACACTCAGAACACCTTTCGATTATATGTATAGTTATTTTTTTATTCATAAAAGTCCCGCAAGGGGTGAATTTCTTTTTAGAAATAATGTATCAAAGCAAATGCTATGCCGGAAAAAATCTAACGTTTAGTTACAGTTTCTAGGCAGTGGTACGGGGATCCTTATATATGATTATCTGTAAAGCGAAGAGTAAATAAAGCTGTTTAAATGTGAATTTGAATGAGATGGAAACTAAGTATATGTATGTAAAACATGTCACGCGATGAGTTGATTGTCGTTTATACACGCTAATATAAAATTCTATGACGCTTTTAAATTCAACATCACACTTGATATCGAATCCACACAGCCGGTTTGACAGGCTCTGATAACCAATAAAAGAGTTCCCGGTCTGAAGTATTTTAAATAAACGTTTATATCAAAGGCCATGATTGTAAATAAAGAAAGTAAACAGTTCGTATAGATCTGGTATTGTGTGGAGATAATATGGAGTTTTAAATGGCAGCACGCGCTCGGGTTCTCATAGCGGTTCGTGTAAACACTTCCGTACAGAAAAGACGCAATGTATGAACGGATCTATGTATTAAAAATAACGTCATTTCATTGTAAAGTTAATTGTATTGATCAGATAAAAACAGTATAATGGGTATATCTATAGGTTTGTTTAATATTCTATCTTAAAGGGTTTACTTTAGACCGGAACATGCTACACTGTACACACTGCCATATCAGTTAACAGTTAACTGTTACACTGCCATATGTACATGGCAAGCGAACTTAACATTTAATACATAAAAGGAATATATCATGTTCTTCTAGAGATATAAAAAAACATTGACAAAATCTCTATTTATTAAGAAAATATCAGATAAAATGAAGATATCTCATCTATTCATATCTATCAAATCTCTATTACAGTTAAAGATATCTTATATGAAATAAGATACATCGTTATTTCTTTTAAAAATATATCTCTATTTAATTCTTAAGGAACTATCTCTATTTAATTCTTAAAGATATATCTCTATTTCATTAAAAATTTCTCTATTTCTTTCTTTAAGAGATACCCCTGTTCATTAAAATTTTACGTTAAGATATCTTTAATCGACCCTTTTTTGGGTATCAAATGTTAAGTTGGCTCGCAATAAGACCGGTACTGCTGACTGTCTGGGGTGACGTTAATACATTTATTTCCATTTGGTGATATCAGTCACTGCAAATTCGAATACGTGACATCATCAATTTGATAAAGGTTATTACTAAATGATGTTTTGATCAGATTCATAATAGTGATATTGTGATAATTAAACAATACCTTATAATCACGAGGAGGTTTTGAGAACCAACGCGGAAACAAATTGCACCCTTCAAAAATATACAGGATATTACCATACTACAAAATGTACTGTTACAGCAACACCGTTTACAGTTACAGCAGTTACTACAGCAACACTGTGACACAACTTGTTCACAGTGTAATTAACGACAGTTTCACAGTCTGTGATTTATGAATGTCGAGAAAAAAAATTCCATGAAAAAAAGCCGCCTACACTGGCCCTGGTGGATAACGTCCGTATTGATTTAGGACAGTGATAAGACTCTCCACCGATATAATCCTCTTACTTCTTTTGATATTTCACATTCCCCTGTACAGATACATAACACAATGCAAGATCATTTCTGACGCATACACCACAAGCTTGTCCACATTATTTTACAAATGTACAACCTCTTTATGTAAGCTCTGATCATCTCCGAAATCCAAAGATTCCGCTATCTCTTCTCTGCACTGTTGAAATTTGAAGGCTTGCTGTGAACCATTTGATTTGTCTAAGGCATTAAAATGTCATTTGAAATTCACAGCGAAGCTATTCTAGAATCAATGGCGATCAGTTTTACCATTACGCTGCTGCGCCATTCCTTTTCAATTTGCATCATTCACAAAGTCACGCGCACAGAGCCTTCCATTTTTCATAATATCCCAGGGTTGTTGAGAACATATGTTCAAACAGATGGGAAACCAATGAATTTAGAAAATGAGTTCTGAGGTGTATTGCGAAGTACTAGCATGTCGAACCATCACCATCATCATCCTTTTCAATATTGCTTGATGAATTGCTTTTCTAATATATGCATTGCAAGTATTACAATTACCGTTTCTGTTTACTTGCAGACCCAAATGATGATGTTCCAGTTAATACCAACACGATAAGACGGGTCCAGTCAGCCTCAGCCTCTTCTGGAAATAACCGGATGTTACTCCGAAGACGTGGCCGAACGCGGCCACTTGGCCTGGTCCTGTTGGATAGCCGTTTGGAGACTCAGGTCGAAAAGGCTGTGTTCCAAACCAATCTCCGTTTACTCACACAGATGGTTGGTTCGCAGAAAAATCAGGTGTTCGCTCGCCCAAATACCCCCGTTCATGAGCACGAATCACCTTCTTTACAAAGCAAGGAATACCAGATTATAAACAATGCAACAACTTCCTGTTATCACAACAAAATTCGTGACCGGGTGGTCAGTGCTGGAGGGGAGCGTCGGGCGGGTTCCGGTTCCCGTTTTGGTTCGGTCCCACTGTGTTCTAGACAATCAAACACAGGTGATGATCTACACAAGTGTCAACATAAGTCACATTGTGATGTCCTAGGGTCATATTTCTGTACAGACTGTACGCAGATTCGTAAAAGAAGCAAAAGTGCTCAGCAACAAACCAAAAACTTCCCGAACATCGAAGTTCATCCGCGGTCATTGGTAGCTCCAGAGAAACTCGATAAACTGTTAATAAAAATCCCACAAATGCACGAAGTGAAGGTTTCGGACAAAAAACGTCCAAGTGTGGGTAACGGAAATCGCTTTGTATTCACCGGAAATGACATTTATTCCAGACTCCGGGAGACACACAAACTGTATGGGCGTCGTGTGTTTGGGCAGAAAGTGAATCCAGTACCGAAAACCGCGGGCTTGTTACCCAATAACTTATTTGATAACCACCGAAGCAGGCGAAGGTCGTCAACGCTTGCTCCTCAGAAAACACTACTAGCCGTTCCTAAAGCTAACACACACATGATTCGCTTCGACATCCCAAGTTCGCGGTGACCTTGAAGATCAAGTCCAGAAAATCTGTTTGCTCGAAATTACTTTTCCGTTTATTTTCTAGTGCATCACCGGGTCTTAATGGTCCAGACACCCAAGTTCCGACAACGATGAAAAACAACATATTCAGATTTGGAAAAAAAATATTGGTAAATGACACATAAAGACTTGATTGTATGGATGACGAGTCGGGTGCGTAATAAGACTACATGTCATATATTCACAAAACGCAACACACCGGCAAAGTAGTTTGGATACAGTGATATAATATGAAGTAACTTTTAGGGAACTGATAAATTACGTACATTTTTCCTTGATCAAAAACTTTTTTGTGTGGAGCGAAAATAACTGAGATTTTACTGACGTGACGTCACTTCCGGTAACACATTTCTGATCTGCTGCAAACAATTGCACTCACGTAATATCCACTGCATATTTCTACGCATAGGTATTGGACGGCTCCAATATGTAGCAGTTATATAACTGGAGCACAGGGACTTGAGAATTTAAAAGCTACATTAATTGTATGTACAGGGACTTGAGAATTTAAAAGCTACATTAATAGTATGTACAGGGACTTGAGAATTTAAAAGATACATTAATTGTATGTACAGGGACTTGAGAATTTAAAAGCTACATTAATTGTGTGTACAGGGACTTGAGAATTTAAAAGCTACATTGTATGTACAGGGACTTGAGAATTTAAAAGCTACATTGTATGTACAGGGACTTGAGAATTTAAAAGCTACATTAATTGTATGTACAGGGACTTGAGAATTTAAAAGCTACATTGTATGTACAGGGACTTGAGAATTTAAAAGCTACATTGTATGTACAGGGACTTGAGAATTTAAAAGCTACATTAATTGTATGTACAGGGACTTGAGAATTTAAAAGCTACATTGTATGTACAGGGACTTGAGAATTTAAAAGCTACATTAATTGTATGTACAGGGACTTGAGAATTTAAAAGCTACATTGTATGTACAGGGACTTGAGAATTTAAAAGCTACATTGTATGTACAGGGACTTGAGAATTTAAAAGCTACATTGTATGTACAGGGACTTGAGAATTTAAAAGCTACATTGTATGTACAGGGACTTGAGAATTTAAAAGCTACATTAATTGTATGTACAGGGACTTGAGAATTTAAAAGCTACATTGTATGTACAGGGACTTGAGAATTTAAAAGCTACATTGTATGTACAGGGACTTGAGAATTTAAAAGCTACATTGTATGTACAGGGACTTGAGAATTTAAAAGCTACATTGTATGTACAGGGACTTGAGAATTTAAAAGCTACATTGTATGTACAGGGACTTGAGAATTTAAAAGCTACATTGTATGTACAGGGACTTGAGAATTTAAAAGCTACATTAATTGTATGTACAGGGACTTGAGAATTTAAAAGCTACATTGTATGTACAGGGACTTGAGAATTTAAAAGCTACATTGTATGTACAGGGACTTGAGAATTTAAAAGCTACATTGTATGTACAGGGACTTGAGAATTTAAAAGCTACATTGTATGTACAGGGACTTGAGAATTTAAAAGCTACATTGTATGTACAGGGACTTGAGAATTTAAAAGCTACATTGTATGTACAGGGACTTGAGAATTTAAAAGCTACATTAATTGTATGTACAGGGACTTGAGAATTTAAAAGCTACACTGTATGTACAGGGACTTGAGAATTTAAAAGCTACATTGTATGTACAGGGACTTGAGAATTTAAAAGCTACATTGTATGTACAGGGACTTGAGAATTTAAAAGCTACATTGTATGTACAGGGACTTGAGAATTTAAAAGCTACATTGTATGTACAGGGACTTGAGAATTTAAAAGCTACATTGTATGTACAGGGACTTGAGAATTTAAAAGCTACATTAATTGTATGTACAGGGACTTGAGAATTTAAAAGCTACATTGTATGTACAGGGACTTGAGAATTTAAAAGCTACATTGTATGTACAGGGACTTGAGAATTTAAAAGCTACATTGTATGTACAGGGACTTGAGAATTTAAAAGCTACATTGTATGTACAGGGACTTGAGAATTTAAAAGCTACATTGTATGTACAGGGACTTGAGAATTTAAAAGCTACATTGTATGTACAGGGACTTGAGAATTTAAAAGCTACATTAATTGTATGTACAGGGACTTGAGAATTTAAAAGCTACATTGTATGTACAGGGACTTGAGAATTTAAAAGCTACATTGTATGTACAGGGACTTGAGAATTTAAAAGCTACATTGTATGTACAGGGACTTGAGAATTTAAAAGCTACATTGTATGTACAGGGACTTGAGAATTTAAAAGCTACATTGTATGTACAGGGACTTGAGAATTTAAAAGCTACATTGTATGTACAGGGACTTGAGAATTTAAAAGCTACATTGTATGTACAGGGATTTGAGAATTTAAAAGCTACATTAATTGTATGTACAGGGACTTGAGAATTTAAAAGCTACATTGTATGTACAGGGACTTGAGAATTTAAAAGCTACATTGTATGTACAGGGACTTGAGAATTTAAAAGCTACATTAATTGTATGTACAGGGACTTGAGAATTTAAAAGCTACATTGTATGTACAGGGACTTGAGAATTTAAAAGCTACATTGTATGTACAGGGACTTGAGAATTTAAAAGCTACATTGTATGTACAGGGACTTGAGAATTTAAAAGCTACATTGTATGTACAGGGACTTGAGAATTTAAAAGCTACATTGTATGTACAGGGACTTGAGAATTTAAAAGCTACATTGTATGTACAGGGACTTGAGAATTTAAAAGCTACATTGTATGTACAGGGACTTGAGAATTTAAAAGCTACATTAATTGTATGTACAGGGACTTGAGAATTTAAAAGCTACATTGTATGTACAGGGACTTGAGAATTTAAAAGCTACATTGTATGTACAGGGACTTGAGAATTTAAAAGCTACATTGTATGTACAGGGACTTGAGAATTTAAAAGCTACATTGTATGTACAGGGACTTGAGAATTTAAAAGCTACATTGTATGTACAGGGACTTGAGAATTTAAAAGCTACATTGTATGTACAGGGACTTGAGAATTTAAAAGCTACATTAATTGTATGTACAGGGACTTGAGAATTTAAAAGCTACATTGTATGTACAGGGACTTGAGAATTTAAAAGCTACATTGTATGTACAGGGACTTGAGAATTTAAAAGCTACATTGTATGTACAGGGACTTGAGAATTTAAAAGCTACATTGTATGTACAGGGACTTGAGAATTTAAAAGCTACATTGTATGTACAGGGACTTGAGAATTTAAAAGCTACATTGTATGTACAGGGACTTGAGAATTTAAAAGCTACATTAATTGTATGTACAGGGACTTGAGAATTTAAAAGCTACATTGTATGTACAGGGACTTGAGAATTTAAAAGCTACATTGTATGTACAGGGACTTGAGAATTTAAAAGCTACATTGTATGTACAGGGACTTGAGAATTTAAAAGCTACATTGTATGTACAGGGACTTGAGAATTTAAAAGCTACATTGTATGTACAGGGACTTGAGAATTTAAAAGCTACATTGTATGTACAGGGACTTGAGAATTTAAAAGCTACATTAATTGTATGTACAGGGACTTGAGAATTTAAAAGCTACATTGTATGTACAGGGACTTGAGAATTTAAAAGCTACATTGTATGTACAGGGACTTGAGAATTTAAAAGCTACATTGTATGTACAGGGACTTGAGAATTTAAAAGCTACATTGTATGTACAGGGACTTGAGAATTTAAAAGCTACATTGTATGTACAGGGACTTGAGAATTTAAAAGCTACATTGTATGTACAGGGACTTGAGAATTTAAAAGCTACATTAATTGTATGTACAGGGACTTGAGAATTTAAAAGCTACATTGTATGTACAGGGACTTGAGAATTTAAAAGCTACATTGTATGTACAGGGACTTGAGAATTTAAAAGCTACATTGTATGTACAGGGACTTGAGAATTTAAAAGCTACATTGTATGTACAGGGACTTGAGAATTTAAAAGCTACATTGTATGTACAGGGACTTGAGAATTTAAAAGCTACATTGTATGTACAGGGACTTGAGAATTTAAAAGCTACATTAATTGTATGTACAGGGACTTGAGAATTTAAAAGCTACATTGTATGTACAGGGACTTGAGAATTTAAAAGCTACATTGTATGTACAGGGACTTGAGAATTTAAAAGCTACATTGTATGTACAGGGACTTGAGAATTTAAAAGCTACATTGTATGTACAGGGACTTGAGAATTTAAAAGCTACATTGTATGTACAGGGACTTGAGAATTTAAAAGCTACATTAATTGTATGTACAGGGACTTGAGAATTTAAAAGCTACATTGTATGTACAGGGACTTGAGAATTTAAAAGCTACATTGTATGTACAGGGACTTGAGAATTTAAAAGCTACATTGTATGTACAGGGACTTGAGAATTTAAAAGCTACATTGTATGTACAGGGACTTGAGAATTTAAAAGCTACATTGTATGTACAGGGACTTGAGAATTTAAAAGCTACATTGTATGTACAGGGACTTGAGAATTTAAAAGCTACATTAATTGTATGTACAGGGACTTGAGAATTTAAAAGCTACATTGTATGTACAGGGACTTGAGAATTTAAAAGCTACATTGTATGTACAGGGACTTGAGAATTTAAAAGCTACATTGTATGTACAGGGACTTGAGAATTTAAAAGCTACATTGTATGTACAGGGACTTGAGAATTTAAAAGCTACATTGTATGTACAGGGACTTGAGAATTTAAAAGCTACATTGTATGTACAGGGACTTGAGAATTTAAAAGCTACATTAATTGTATGTACAGGGACTTGAGAATTTAAAAGCTACACTGTATGTACAGGGACTTGAGAATTTAAAAGCTACATTGTATGTACAGGGACTTGAGAATTTAAAAGCTACATTGTATGTACAGGGACTTGAGAATTTAAAAGCTACATTGTATGTACAGGGACTTGAGAATTTAAAAGCTACATTGTATGTACAGGGACTTGAGAATTTAAAAGCTACATTGTATGTACAGGGACTTGAGAATTTAAAAGCTACATTAATTGTATGTACAGGGACTTGAGAATTTAAAAGCTACATTGTATGTACAGGGACTTGAGAATTTAAAAGCTACATTGTATGTACAGGGACTTGAGAATTTAAAAGCTACATTGTATGTACAGGGACTTGAGAATTTAAAAGCTACATTGTATGTACAGGGACTTGAGAATTTAAAAGCTACATTGTATGTACAGGGACTTGAGAATTTAAAAGCTACATTAATTGTATGTACAGGGACTTGAGAATTTAAAAGCTACATTGTATGTACAGGGACTTGAGAATTTAAAAGCTACATTGTATGTACAGGGACTTGAGAATTTAAAAGCTACATTGTATGTACAGGGACTTGAGAATTTAAAAGCTACATTGTATGTACAGGGACTTGAGAATTTAAAAGCTACATTGTATGTACAGGGACTTGAGAATTTAAAAGCTACATTGTATGTACAGGGACTTGAGAATTTAAAAGCTACATTAATTGTATGTACAGGGACTTGAGAATTTAAAAGCTACATTGTATGTACAGGGACTTGAGAATTTAAAAGCTACATTGTATGTACAGGGACTTGAGAATTTAAAAGCTACATTGTATGTACAGGGACTTGAGAATTTAAAAGCTACATTGTATGTACAGGGACTTGAGAATTTAAAAGCTACATTGTATGTACAGGGACTTGAGAATTTAAAAGCTACATTGTATGTACAGGGACTTGATAATTTAAAAGCTACATTAATTGTATGTACAGGGACTTGAGAATTTAAAAGCTACATTAATTGTATGTACAGGGACTTGAGAATTTAAAAACTACATTGTATGTCCAGGGACTTGAGAATTTAAAAGCTACATTGTATGTACAGGGATTTGAGAATTTAAAAGCTACACTGTATGTACAGGGACTTGAGAATTTAAAAACTACATTGTATGTCCAGGGACTTGAGAATTTAAAAGCTACATTTAATGTACAGAGATTTGAGAATTTAAAAGCTACATTGTATGTACAGGGATTTGAGAATTTAAAAGCTACATTGTATGTACAGGGACTTGATAATTTAAAAGCTACATTGTATGTTCGGGGATTTGAGAATTTAAAAGCTACATTGTATGTAAAGGGACTTGAGAATTTAAAAGCTACATTGGATGTACAGGGACTTGATAATTTAAAAGCTTCATTGTATGTTCAGGGATTTGAGAATTTAAAAGCTACATTGTATGTACACGGACTTGAGAATTTAAAAGCTACATTAATTGAATGTACAGGGACTTGAGAATTTAAAAGCTACACTGCATGTACAGGGACTTGAGAATTTAAAAGCTAAACTGTATGTACAGGGACTTGAGAATTTAAAAGCTACACTGCATGTACAGGGACTTGAGAATTTAAAAGCTATACTGTATGTACAGGGACTTGAGAATTTAAAAACTACATTGTATGTCCAGGGACTTGAGAATTTAAAAGCTACATTGTATGTAAAGGGACTTGAGAATTTAAAAGCTACATTGGATGTACAGGGACTTGATAATTTAAAAGCTACATTAACTGTATGTACAGGGACTTGAGATTTTAAAAGCTACATTAATTGTATGTACAGGGACTTGAGAATTTAAAAGCTACATTGTATGTACACATTTTAGGGGTTTAAATCAACTTTCGGTAAAAATATTGTGTGGTGTTTTAACCGAAATTCGATCTAAATAAATCATTGAAACATGTAATACACTCTGAACGTCCAAATATAGCTGTAACAAGTTCGCAGGCCCCTGTTATTCATACATGAATGCTTCTTAAAATCAGTTACTTGTGCTTGTTACATGTACATTTGAATTAATTATTAATTAGACGAATGATAGAATTATTAGATATTAGTAGCAAAAATTGGAGTGTTTTCTAGTGATAGAATATATATCTACATCCTGATATGTATGCTGCTTTCTCATGTGTGCTGTCCTATATTTATGTAGAGTACCAAAAAGTGGTAAATATATACGGAAAAATCATTGATTCGTTGTTTTGTAGTTCTGGGACAAACAACAAAAGTACGATTCTAGGTCACATACAGACAACACTATACTGATTCCGGACCATACGTTACAGTGGTTTAGGTAGAAAATAGAAAGCCAAGACTATTTATGCCCGATTATAATTGCCCCCTTCCCCCTCCCCCGCCTCTTGGGTCATTTGCAAATTACGTTCTTTACAAATTTGATCTATACTGAATTTCGCATTGTACAATAAAGTAATCCCTAGTTCAGTACAGTCTCCACCTACACGAAAATAATAAACATCAGACTGCTAGGCAAAGGGAAGCAACTCTTATGAAAAAGCTCTTGTATATGTTCAGATTAATGAGTCGTTTATGATAAATACTTATTGCTCTATTGAAGTTTATCCTACGACAAACCTACAAGAAACCAAGTTAATTTTTTTTACAATCTTTGCTTTACTTTCGTGTATGTCTGTGTGTTTTGCCTGCAGCCAGTCACCAAAGAAGGTTATCGTTTGGTTTTGCCCGACTGATGGAACAGCTAATATGTTTACCTTGATTTCTAGGAAAGTTTTGTGTAAACAAGTAAGCAAAATAGTTGCAAGACAGTCAACGAGATGTTTTACTGTCATAAAAGCATGCGTTTTAATCTCATTATTACAGCGAACATACCGCATGATCAATTTACATTTCATTTTACGTGTGGTCTTCATATCAACCAACAGTAAGTTAAGGATTAAGATAAAAGGATGGATTGCTATATGAGAACAATGTTATCCAAATGTTACGCGCTGTCTTGGAAACTTTACTGAAATTGTTCTAAGAGACATCTTCAGTAGGAAAACACGCCGATCAAATTCACCACTCACATGGACATGGTCATTTGCTACAGCTATATTTTTTAGACCTACACTAAATTATTCAGAGTAATTTTGCTCGGTTATTGGTTTATATCGATTTGTATATCATCATTGGGTGGCATTTTTACCGAAAGTCTATCTAAACCCTTAAAACGTGTAAAATTTCTCCGAACACTTTAGTTTATGTCCAAATACAGCTTTAACACATTCTCAGGCCCATGTGTCAGCACCGACTACAAACCCAGTAATGTTCACCCAGCATACCAGATTTCTCTTTAGTGACCTTTCTCAAGAATTACATAAATAAAAGTTAATATCGGAATATAATTTCGCATTATGCTGAAATTATTGTAGACAAACGTGAACAAAATGTTAAGGGAGGTGCTTTAATAATAAAATAAAATTCGTATCACGATCTGGCATTCGTAGACGTGAGCCACGTTAATCTACAGACATATGCACTCTGTATATATATATATAAGCCTTATGCATGCTATGTTCTATGGAGGCATGGGACCTAAGACAAATGCGGATGACAAAAAAATCGGACACAACGAAGGCATGTCGACAACCTTGAGAGAGGCACCGACAGGGAGCGATATTCACACAACACCAGCAGTAACCATAGTGATAGTTTTTTGACCATTGGTTTAGTGAGAAATTGTTATCAAATGATTTATTTCATGAAATATTAATGCAAGATAGAAAGTACATAATAATTTCATATATTGTTTTAAACCTATTATACAACGTGCGTTTAAGGGGATATGGGATAATCACTTACAAACAATGCAAACATACACGATTATATTGCTATAACATTATTAACACATTAATGCACTGTGTAAAAAAGGAAATTATAAACGAATTCCTGTTTCAAATATACAAATTTATAAACAAATCAGCTAGTTCTACGTCCCATGCGTATACCACAGAGACATTCGCCCCAGGCGAAGACGAGTTAGCTCCTAGTTGTCTGACCTTTGACGTGTGGCTAATCTATATCTTTGCATTTTCAAGTAAGAGACGCATATCATATTTGCACAGTTGGTATACGGAACGATCCGCACTGTTTTACATAGACTGATATAGGAACTCAAAGACGAAATGTTTCGGCTGATGGCTGGGTTGGTGGTGCTGGGCAGGGTATGGGGAGCCACAATGGCCCCGCCCTCACCAAATGTGCCTCCTAGGCGGCAACTAGACCCGGCAAACCTAGACAGTAAGTAAATAATATACAGTTACTTGTTAGGTGTGTAATGCTACTTGTTGGGTTTGTAGTGTTATTTGTTAGGTGTGTAGTGTTACTTGTTAGGTGTGTAGTGTTACCTGTTAGGTGTGTAGTGTTACATGTAAGGCATGTAGTGTTACTTGTTAGGCGTGTAGTGTTACTTGTTAGGTGTGTAGTGTTATTAGTCAGGCCTGTAGTGTTACTTGTTAGGTGTGAAGAGTTACTTGTTAGGTGTGTAGTGTTACTAGTCAGGTGTGTAGTGTTACTTGTTAGGTGTGAAGTGTTACTAGTTAGGTGTGTAGTGCTACTTGTTAGGTGTGAAGTGTTACTTGTTAGGTGTGTATTGTTACTAGTCAGGCCTGTAGTGTTACTTGTTAGGTGAGTAGTGTTACTTGTAAGGTACGTAGTGTTACTTGTAAGGTGAGTAGTGTTACTTGTTAGGGGTGTAGTGTTACTTGTTAGGTGTGTAGTGTTACTAGTCAGGCCTGTAGGTTACTTGTTAGGTGTGTAGTGTTACTAGTTAGGTGTGTAGTGTAGCTTGTATGATATGAAGTGTTACTTGTTAGGTGTGTAGTGTTACTAGTCAGGCCTGTAGTGATACTTGTATGGTCTGTAGTGTTACTTGTTAGGTGTGTAGTGTTACTTGTTAAGTGTGTAGTGTTACTTGTTAGGTGAGTACTTTTACTTGTTGAGTGGGTAGTGTTAATTGTTAGGTGTTTAGTGTTACTTGTTAGGTGTGTAGTGTTACTAGTCAGGCATGTAGTGTTACTTGTTAGGTGTGAAGTGTTACTAGTTAGGTGTGTAGTGCTACTTGTTAGGTGTGAAGAGTTACTTGTTAGGTGTGTAGTGTTACTAGTCAGGCCTGTAGTGATACTTGTATGGTCTGTAGTGTTACTTGTTAGGTGTGTAGTGTTACTTGTTGGGTGTGTAGTGTTACTAGTCAGGCCTGTAGTGTTACTTGTTAGGTGAGTAGTGTTACTTGTAAGGTATGTAGCGTTACTTGTAAGGTGAGTAGTGTTACTTGTTAGGTCTGTAGTGTTACTTGTAAGGTGAGAAGTGTTACTTGTTAGGTGTGTAGTGTTACTTGTTAAGTGTGTAGTGTTACTTGTTAGGTGAGTAGTGTTACTTGTAAGGTATGTAGCGTTACTTGTAAGGTGAGTAGTGTTACTTGTTAGGTCTGTAGTGTTACTTGTAAAGTGAGTAGTGTTACTTGTTAGGTGTGTAGTGTTACTTGTTAAGTGTGTAGTGTTACTTGTTAGGTGAGTACTTTTACTTGTTGAGTGGGTAGTGTTAATTGTTAGGTGTTTAGTGTTACTTGTTAGGTGTGTAGTGTTACTTGTTAAGTGTGTAGTGTTACTTGTTAGGTGAGTACTTTTACTTGTTGAGTGGGTAGTGTTAATTGTTAGGTGTTTAGTGTTACTTGTTAGGTGTGTAGTGTTACTTGTTAAGTGTGTAGTGTTACTTGTTAGGTGAGTACTTTTACTTGTTGAGTGGGTAGTGTTAATTGTTAGGTGTTTAGTGTTACTTGTTAGGTGTGTAGTGTTACTTGTTAAGTGTGTAGTGTTACTTGTTAGGTGAGTACTTTTACTTGTTGAGTGGGTAGTGTTAATTGTTAGGTGTTTAGTGTTACTTGTTAGGTGTGTAGTGTTACTTGTTAAGTGTGTAGTGTTACTTGTTAGGTGAGTAGTGTTACTTGTAAGGTATGTAGCGTTACTTGTAAGGTGAGTAGTGTTACTTGTTAGGCGTGTAGTGTTACTTGTAAGGTGAGAAGTGTTACTTGTTAGGTGTGTAGTGTTACTTGTTAAGTGTGTAGTGTTACTTGTTAGGTGAGTACTTTTACTTGTTGAGTGGGTAGTGTTAATTGTTAGGTGTTTAGTGTTACTTGTTAGGTGTGTAGTGTTACTTGTTATGTGGATAGTGTTACTTGTAAGGTGTGTAGTGTTACTTGTAAGGTGTGTAATGTTACTTGTTAGGTATGTAGTGTTACTTGTTAGGTGTGTAGTGTTACTTGTTAAGTGTGTAGTGTTACTTGTTAGGTGAGTAGTGTTACTTGTTGAGTGTGTAGTGTTATTTGTTAGGTGTGTAGTGTTACTAGTCAGGCCTGTAGGTTACTTGTTAGGTGTGTAGTGTTACTAGTTAGGTGTGTAGTGCTACTTGTTAGGTGTGAAGTGTTACTTGTTAGGTGTGTAGTGTTACTTGTTGGGTGTGTAGTGTTACTAGTCAGGCCTGTAGTGTTACTTATTAGGTGTGTAGTGTTACCTGTTAGGTGTGTAGTGTTACATGTTAGGCATGTAGTGTTACTTGTTAGGCGTGTAGTGTTACTTGTAAGGTGAGAAGTGTTACTTGTAAGGTATCTAGTGTTACTTGTAAGGTGAGTAGTGTTACTTGTTAGGTATGTAGTGTTACTTGTTGGGTGTGTAGTGTTACTTGTTAGGTGTGTATTGTTACTTGTTAGGTGTGAAGTGTTACTAGTTAGGTGTGTAGTGCTACTTGTTAGGTGTGAAGTGTTACTTGTTAGGTGTGTATTGTTACTAGTCAGGCCTGTAGTGTTACTTGTTAGGTGTGAAGTGTTACTTGTTAGGTGTGTAGTGTTACTAGTCAGGCCTGTAGGTTACTTGTTAGGTGTGTAGTGTTACTAGTTAGGTGTGTAGTGCTACTTGTTAGGTGTGAAGTGTTACTTGTTAGGTGTGTATTGTTACTAGTCAGGCCTGTAGTGTTACTTGTTAGGTGAGTAGTGTTACTTGTAAGGTATGTAGCGTTACTTGTAAGGTGAGTAGTGTTACTTGTTAGGGGTGTAGTGTTACTTGGTAGGTGTGTAGTGTTACTTGTTATGTGGATAGTGTTACTTGTAAGGTGTGTAGTGTTACTTGTTAGCTGTGTAGTGTTACTTGTTAGGTGTGTAGTGTTACTTGTTATGTGGATAGTGTTACTTGTCAGGTGTGTAGTGTTACTTGTTATGTGTGTAGTGTTACAAGTCAGGCCTGTAGTGTTACTTGTAAGGTGAGTAGTGTGACTTGTTAGGTGTGTAGTGTTACTTGTAAGGTGAGTAATGTTACTTGTTAGGTGTGTAGTGTTACTAGTCAGGCCTGTAGGTTACTTGTTAGGTGTGTAGTGTTACTAGTTAGGTGTGTAGTGTAGCTTGTATGATATGAAGGGTTACTAGTTAGGTGTGTAGTGTTAGTTGTTAGGTTTGTAGTGTAGCTTATTAGGTGGATAGTGTTACTTGTTAGGTGTGTAGTGTTACTTGTTAGGTGAGTAGTGTTACTTGTAAGGTATGCAGTGTTACTTGTAAGGTCTGTAGTGTTACTTGTAAGGTGTGTAGTGTTACTTGTAAGGTGTGTAGTGTTACTTGTTAGTTGTGTAATGTTATTAGTCAGGCCTGTAGTGTTACTTGTTAGGTGAGTAGTGTTACTTGTTAGGTGTGTAGTGTTACTTGTTGGGTGTGTAGTGTTACTTGTTAAGTGTACAGTGTTACTTTTAAGGTATGTAGTGTTACTTGTAAGGTGAGTAGTGTTACTTGTTAGGTGTGTAGTGTTACTAGTCTGGCCTGTAGTGTTACTTGTTTGGTGTGAAGTGTTACTTGTTAGGTGTGTAGTGTTACTAGTCTGGCCTGTAGTGTTACTTGTTAGGTGTGAAGTGTTACTTGTTAGGTGTGTAGTGTTACTTGTTAGGTGAGTAGTGTTACTTGTTAGGTGTGTAGTGTTACTAGTTGGGTGTGTAGTGTAGCTTGTATGATATGAAGTGTTTCTTGTTAGGTGTGTAGTGTTACTAGTTAGGTGTGTAGTGTAGCTTGTATGATATGGAGTGTTACTTGTTAGGTGTGTAGTGTTACTTGTTAGGTGGGTAGTGTTACTTGTAAGGTGAGTAATGTTACTTGTAAGGTATGTAGTGTTACTTGTAAGGTCTGTAGTGTTACTTGTAAGGTGTGTAGTGTTACTTGTTAGGTGTGTAATGTTATTAGTCAGGCCTGTAGTGTTACTTGTTAGGTGAGTAGTGTTACTTGTTAGGTGTGTAGTGTTACTAGTTTGGTGTGTAGTGTAGCTTGTATGATATGAAGTGTTACTTGTTAGGTGTGTACTGTTACTAGTTAGGTGTGTAGTGTAGCTTGTATGATATGGAGTGTTACTTGTTAGGTGTGTAGTGTTACTTGTTAGGTGAGTAGTGTTACTTGTTAGGTATGTAGTGTTACTTGTTAGGTGTGAAGTGTTACTTGTTAGGTGTGTAGTGTTACTAGTTTGGTGTGTAGTGTAGCTTGTATGATATGAAGTGTTACTTGTTAGGTGTGTACTGTTACTAGTTAGGTGTGTAGTGTAGCTTGTATGATATGAAGTGTTACTTGTTAGGTGTGTAGTGTTACTAGTCTGGCCTGTAGTGTTACTTGTTTGGTGTGAAGTGTTACTTGTTAGGTGTGTAGTGTTACTAGTTTGGTGTGTAGTGTAGCTTGTATGATATGAAGTGTTTCTTGTTAGGTGTGTAGTGTTACTAGTTAGGTGTGTAGTGTTGCTTGTATGATATGAAGTGTTACTAGTTAGGTGTGTAGTGTTAGTTGTTAGGTTTGTAGTGTAGCTTATTAGGTGGATAGTGTTACTTGTTAGGTGTGTAGTGTTACTTGTAAGGTGAGTAATGTTACTTGTTAGGTGTGTAGTGTTACTAGTCAGGCCTGTAGTGTTACTTGTTAGGTGTGTAGTGTTACTTGTTAGGTGTGTGTTGTTACCTGTTAGGTGTGAATGATTGTTATGTATTGTGTAAGAATGTGTTTTGTGTGCAATCTAAAACACTGACACTATGCTGTCGCTGGACAGCATATTACTGTACATTGCATGTTTACTTCTGACTGAAAGGCCCGGATATAACGATATATCGGTCGTAGCTACATGTATATTAATCACCGGCTTTTCCAAAGGATAACACTGACCACACTGGGCGTAGGCATGTCTTGTCATGTCACTTTCAACTAATCAGGGTATTAGTTGACTTAACATCCCCTTAAAGTCTATAAGTGATTCTTTACTAATATTGGTAGGTCTGCCGTTTTATTTGATGGGAAACGTTCGAAGACAGATTGTTGAGGGTCGTGGTTTTTCCTTGACCGGGAATGATCACCTTGATGTTATAAAATTAATACAAAATAAATTCAGTGACTTAAAGGTTAATAAAATCCGTCTAGTCCTTACAGTTGTATTCAAATGGTCATTTGTCTATGTTTACAGTATCATCCTTTGATATCTGTTACTTGAAAATGTGAAATTCCGTATTTTACCTGGCTGATGTAGCTTTAAATACTTTGTACTTTATGTGTGACTGTTAAATCTGTGTGTCAGGTTTAAACAGACAAGTAAGGATGGCTTTACTGACCAAAGTGACCACTGAACTGGAGTCAAGCAAGACACACATGGCGAGTCTCCAGCCACAACTGACCGACTGCCAGAAACATGTGAACAACTCGCTCGGTCATTGTCTTAAGTGTGTGGACAACGCCTGTCTGGAAAAGTGAGTGCTCATCACCGATGCGTTAAACATTATGATGTTGTACAACAATGAAAAGTACACACGACCCGTCAGTCAATCCGGATAAATCTTGTCCGTCATTAGTTTGTGTTTTATAAATTTCATGTTTCCGGAACATACACATGTTTGTATTTTACCCAAGCGTACGGACAGGTCATTACAGTTATAAAAGACGGCGGGTCAGATATTAAAAATAGTTGACAGTCATTTTCAACCCTAGTCCATATTGTTAACTTTGAATTCGGACGATATTATTATTACTGATGAAATGAGACAGGTTGTGAAGTTCAAAAAGTATTAAAAATATCGTTGTAGGTGATTATATTAATTTCATAAAATTAATTCCTTATTATTACAGGTTTAAACAGTGTCATTCTTTGACCTTCAACATGCAATCACCTGGCGGGATGTCCGTATCCAGCAATAATGTGAATGGACAGAGTCAAGTGACCGTCTGCGCATTGACCAGTGGTCAGTTTACCCGCACGTGTTCCACTATTATGAACCCTGCCGGTTTCATGGTCAACTCTATCTCTCAGATTGGCAACAACCTTCGGATTAACCTTGGGAGGGTTTACGGTGACCTTGGAAATACGGTTGTAGGGAACTTCGTGGGAGGTCTGACAAATGTGGCCAATAACGTTGTTCGAAACATGACGGATGCGGAGAAGGCACAATTACAGCAGACAATGGCTCACCTGAGTCAGTCTCTCTCTACCATGGGACATCACATAGGACAGGGTGTTCAGCAGTCTATGAATCAAATGCAGAGTAACCTAGGCCACATGAACCAGAACATGCAAAACTTCGGGCAGTCGATGTCACAATGGGGACAAAACTTCGGCCAACAGCTATCACAGTCTCTCTCACACATGTTCGGTAAATAACTTCTGTAATTGCCTATGCTTCTAAAAAATGGAAAATATTGAGTGATAATGGTTCAAAGGGATACATTGTTAAATTATCGTCTTTCAGTTAAGATGATTTTCTTATTGTCACTACGGGTTTTTTTGTAAAGAAGCTCCGCTCAGCAAGCGGGTTGTGTGATTGCTGAACCGTCAAAATGAAAATATGTTATTAAATGTCACGTGTCTATCAAATGACATGACGTGTGATTGAATAAATTGTGTACTTCCCAGTTCTTCCGAAATCTTCAAACATTTTGTTTTTTTTGACTAACTGTCTCTCTATCGAAGTCGTTTGTTCTGATCGTGCTATTATACCTTCTTACAGACGGAAGCTTCCTGGGCAGGAGACGGAGGGCAACACAAGAATGTACCTTCCTGTTCGGGGACTTGCATCAGAACTGTGCTAGTCTGACGTCACAATGCTCCTCGTGTCCTAGCAACCGAGATGAAACCATGGAAGCAGGTAATATACCAAGTATGAAATATATATAAATACATGTATTCATGTAGGTAACCAAGTGTGTACTCAATGAAACGAAATATAGAAATGTTTGCATTGTACAGTATAAATACATGTATTCATGTAGGTAACCAAGTATGTACTCAATGAAACGAAATGTAGAAATGTTTGCATTGTATAAATACATGTTTTCATGTAGGTAACCAAGTATGTACTCAATGAAACGAAATGTATAAATGTTTGCATTGTATAAATACATGCATTAAGATACGCTTGCCTTGTATAAATAAAGGTTTAAATCTAGGTATTTTGGGATACCTGCCTGCATAAATGAATGAATTAAGGAATTGACTTGGATTGTGTTTAGATATGCTTGTCTTGTACAGTATAGTTATATATATTTAGGTATGGGTTTGGTTAGTGTATTAAGTACGTCTGTATTAAATAAAGTATTGTATTTCGGTACGCTTGGCTTCCATGTTTCGTTTGTATTTAGATATGCTTGTGGTGTATTAAGTTCTATCTATTTGGGACTTGCCTTCAAGAAAAGTTTGCCTTCTGTTGGTTGTATTTCGTGTTTGCAACAGCAATATCTCGCCATATTCATTGCAATTGCTTAACTATATTGAGTTTCTAGTAGTCTGATTTATTTTCATTTTCTCTTCATAACGTGACGATCTACAGTGTGTGGGAAGGATCTTGTAGACAGGGTCAAGGCCGTGCAGAAATCTATGGATGAAATGAATCAAATTTACGAAGAGGTGATCAACGCCCAAAACATCATCACCAAGGTAACAAATAGAGCTATTGCCATATAAGGACTTGTCTCCATGTGTGTTGTGTATGTTCCAATACTAGAGGCGTTAAGTTGGTGTAATTACCTCCTTGCGATTGCGCGGATCTAACACCGGCTTTAGAGTGCTACCTCACTGAAATATCATGCCAAAGGTACCAAGCATAGCGCTCCATTCGATCTCAATATCCGGACAGCGGATGAACCATTTATTGAGCTTACCCGATATGCCTAACAATAACTACTATTCTGAAATACTTGGTATGTCCCGACTCCACAACAGAACCCATCACAGTGTGAATATGCTTTGTAATATTGTCAAAAGTGAGGCAGCGCAAAGGGAGGCGTTACCAAATAAAAAAAGATATATAATGGAAGTACAAGGAAAGATTTATTTAATTAATTTTTCTGGAGTTACGATATTTGATAAAATGTATATTTGTTGAAACAATTTACAATATTGTTTGTAAATCTTGATCTCTTCCACAGGTCGAGTTCGATGACGTCATGATTGATCCAACGATGGCGTCTTACGGCAACGTACACATAATGGCGAACATCAGAGGAATACCGACAATGTTTACGATGAACACCGTCCTTCAACTTCACGACATCGCAGCTTCCGGTACACCTATCGCGCAGCAAGTCTGGAAAGAATGGGCTGTTCGAATGACAACACCGTGATGTCATAACCGGAAATGCAAAGAAGTTTTATTGGATGTGCATCCTTGTTGAGTTTTTAGATTTTAGTTTCTTTGACAAATCCCTGTTAACGTTCTAAATATATCGTAATAAAGAAAAATAGACTGTCTCTGTTACCAGGAATATTAAAGATTTCATTAAAATATTTCCGGCCTTTTTCATATCTTTTAGAGATCTTGAAGGCTACATCTGATGTAAGAGCGTACTCTGAGAAACCTGTTTGAACAGTGGGATTGTCAAAAAAGTAATCTGAATATATTTTCTACAATTGAAATTAGCAAGAAACTAGAAACAAAGTGAGCAGAGGCTCAAAATATACTCCCACCCTGCTTCCCAACCCCAACCTCGCTTTGCCCGTGACACTTGACCCTTTCACCTTGACCGATGACTGTCACAATGTAATCGGATGTAGTCTGATTGAGTACAAAATACAATATTGTTGAGGTGTTTGTGAGATAACTAGTACACAAGTAGAACATTCGTATAATCCTCAGCATGCACGGACAAATTGCCTGTATTAACTCATCTGATATTTTTGTTAGCCTGCTAATAAATATACAATTACATAGAATACTACATAATTTTACCCTAGTAAAGATAGGGGAGGTGGTGGGTATGCAAATAAAAATGGCTTTTTACCTTTACCCTTTGCTCTTTCTTCTAAGTCTTTGTGTGGGAGTCACGTGACCTATATTCAGAAACTTCCGCCAGGCCTCATCATGTTGTCACGTGACTTATGTGCATATCCAAGCGTTATATAATTATTTATCTATTTATGACAAAATTACAGACATATATGACATAAAATTATATCGCTCCATGGCAAAGCTCTTAATGTTTTCGTAAATATCTCTCATAAGTATCAAATTGAAATTAAAACTACTTCTGATTTTGTTTGATTTTTTTTACACCCTCCAAAATGGACGATGTAATGATGGCACTTAATACATAATACTAAATAAGTAAATATAACATATGGAAAAATTCATTTTACAAAATGTTTAATTAAAGTGCAACTCTTAAGCAAACTAAAACGTATACATGTTCTTAGTTTAAAGAATATAAAAAGTATTTACTTGGCCATATTCGATCTCTTTTGGAATATGCTCGTGAAGTATGGAATAATCACAAAGGTGCCATTTTCTCATATCTGGAAAGAACACTGGGGTTGAATGCTGAGAGAATAGTTACAGGTACAAATGTATGCCAATTTATATAAAACATGACTAAAACTATAATAAAAGTGGAATGTAACCTTTGCACACCAGAAGTGAAAGCCAAACAATGCTTGCTCATTTACACCATAAAATTCACAGCCCCGTAAAATTTGGGTAGAAACCGTTAAATTAAAGTCTAATGAAATATTAGGCAGGTTCGCACAGCATAGATGGGGTCTGCCTTTTATCTGCTTTCATCTCATTGTAAGCAAACAATCTGAGCAGATGTAGTATAGAACGTTCTATTGTCCATCGGTACTCTATCAACATAAACATTAATTCACAGGGCCATTGGGTTCTAGACAGTCTTATCACAAGACCTCTCCGATCCCCCATCTTTAGGTCATAATCACCGGTCGTAGAAATGACATGCATCCAACCAATTAGTAATGCAAGGGTCAAAATTATTCTAATCTCTCAGCACAGCCAGCTGGGTATTCTGACCTTCCATAACTTCACTGTCCTGACAGCAACACAGTAAACTTAGGGTCTCCCCTCTTTGCCTAATTTACAAGTGCTATATTCGGTATTGGTTCCTTACTGATAAGGGACAGAGTATGAGATTCAATCCTAGGACCTAGCGAGGTCGAATGACAAGTGCTCTCTGTTCTAGCCAACTGTGAGGTTCTTTTCTGATGGTCAAGCTATGGAGTCATAACACAAAACACTGCGTCTTTGCTGGCCTCCGAGAGACTAATACATTCCTACCTTTGAAAAGGCTGCCTAAGCGTACTACATTACCACAAACAATAGAATTACATCGTTCTAGTGTCTAATCCTAGTCATGTCCGGTCGCGGGTGTGGTCAGCCCCGGGGGCGTAAACGAAGAGCAAACGACAACATCACAGTAACGAGTGACAGTGACTTTGGGATTCATACTACTATGAATCACATGACTGTAGAACATGCAGGGGATGGTCATAAACCTTAAGAACTGGACTGTAAGTGAACTTCGGTCCAAGTTACTCGGACTGAGCATAACACCACCCAAGGGGTTAAGCAAGACAATAAACCTGTATTAGAAAATATACCTTCAATTAGTTTTATTCGCAAACAATGTCTGAAATATATATGTATCAAGCCAAAGTTTCATTAATTACTTTGTAAACATAATCAATTACGCTATAAAATCAGTCACAATTAAGGTAAAATAAATATCGTATCAAACTATATATACTTAACATTATATCATACTTTTCTGTGCTTTTTAGCAAATCAAGGTCAAATACCTTTAAAAGCGTAGCTAGATATCGTTGAACTGAATATAGCTTTACGACTCATACCTAAAATACCTAGTTGGTCTAATGTTACGATCAAAGCAACAAATACAACATCGTTTATTTAGTTCGAAAATACAAATGAAAGATAACTAATATTGATACTCTTCAGGAAAGTAGATAATACATGTTCGGATTGAAAACATCAATTGTGATCTATATATAAAGTAATCTATCAATTAATGGTAAAACATATTAGCATCATGCAAAAATAATATATAAATACAAATTTAACGACAAAATACTTAGAAATATGCCTCCCAGAAGAGGCAAGCGTGATATCATCAAGCAATTTTCCCAATTCGCCCTTTTTCAATCCCAAACCAAAATCAGTCCTTCGTAAAGAAAAAGAGATAAACAACCTCAATTCAACCTTTTTAAGTAGGGTTTCTACGATAGTATACAGCTAGTCAAACTGATAGACTAACAACAGCGCATGTTTTCTCCGAGGCTGGGACGAGGTGGGTCCGGTAGGGGGAGATATACTTTGTCCACATCCTCAGAAGAAACTGAAAAGAATGTTCTTGTTTACAAACAGTATTCATTCAATACCATGCTACCATGAACATGTGACGTAGGTATATATTTAACCGACTTAACATCCTAACGTAGATATTTGTCGCTTTAATGGAATTAAGGATCCCTGTTCCACTGAAGACGAAACACTGCGTCAATTAATCTTTAGTTTTTTCATTCATACAGTACGACCCACGTTACTGTTGCTAGGCTAGACAAGAGACTTTTTCTTACAATGAAATGTCAGACCCATATGTCCAGGTTTCCCCAATCGGAGCCTGTCGCGATTTTAAGAATCGGTATAACGCTTTTCCCCATTTTCATTTATTTATGAAATTGCGCAAGGTATGTTTTCTTTTATTCAGAATAAAAACGTTATATCAAAGATAAAATCATTGCGGACTAATGTAAAGCTACATTTTTTGGCAGTGGAAGAGAGATTCTTAGCAACCTTACATTTATCTTTACGAGAAGTTAATCAACCAATTCTGACAGATTTACTTTAAAGATACATGCTACCTTAGTGCTATACGTACTTCTCACTCATTAAAGCGTTTGTGAGTTGGTGAGGAATAGATCAAGATCGTTACCAATTAACAACAGATTAACTCAAACTTAAGTTCTTATATAATGTGTAAGGTAGCATAAACCGTTAAAGGATGTACTCTTCTGAGATCTTAAACAATCCTGTAAAATAAACGTTTTTCCTTGTATATGTATTGTTTTTGGAAAAAAGAAGTTAATGGCAACAAGATTTTCAAGAAAATATTCATACACTATCTTCCAAGTGTGTTATTAGGTACCTATAAATGCTTGATTAACGATAAATAAGGTGTGCATCTTTTACCTAATTTCTTTTCCGTTATTTTCCACGTCTATGTTGCAAAATACATATGTATTTTCATAACACTGACAATTAAAAACTTACAAAGCAGAAATAAATTTGCTTTAGTCAAAGATGGCGTTACAAAGACCTATTTTAGTGATGAATCTAATGTAAAAAAAATCAACAACTGTTTTTTTGTTATATTTTTTCATGTGCATGTTCGTTATTAACATTAAACTTTTTTTTTTTGTTAAAAAATTGCAAAGAAAAAAGTGATCTGAATTCTATACAAAATATCGTCATTTAAATATATTCTGCTTATTGTTTATCATACTTGCTGTCTTCTGTTTGTTACAGGAACGAATTATGTCAATAGTTTACGTAATTAATTATAATGATGACATTTTAGTTTAAAGTCCAAATTAGAATTACTGGTACTGAAAGTCAAGGTCATATCCGGCCATTTTCTCTCGGAACTTGGCGTTGAAGTATTCGTTCTGTGCTACAGTGAACATATTCTTCCAGTCACCAATTTTACCTGGTAAACAGACCAAACGATCATGACAAAACAACATATATGGATACAAATCATTTAAAGTCTTGCCTATCGTTAATGTTTAATGCATTATTACATATGTGCTTTCATAACCTGATTCAAACTTGTTTTTTCTCTCCAAATATTTATGAACAACACAAACGTTCTATGTCTACACAATACCATCGACTATTAATGTACATGTAACGAATAAATCAGTCTACTTTATTACATTTTGAACAGTGAAATATTGTAAATTACTCATTCTATAAAAGAGATATTTTTTCACTGAGCGAAAATATCAAAATCCCAGGTGACATACTACTAGAATACTTCTATAAAAACACGAAGCCTGATGATGAACTATCGTCTGTTACCTATCATTGTGTAGTTATTATTTAAATATATTTCACTCGTGCTGCGCACTTTCGAAAGGTCTTGAAATAATAGCCACACTCGTGAATTATATGTGATATTACTGAAGGCACTGTTAGATAAAAAAATAGGATTACTCAAGACAAAAGAAGCGACCGAGGATAAACCAAAACAAAAGAAACAAGTCATATACGGTAAACAAGGAGACAAAACCAAGGCATGTTTTCCTAAAGGATAATCGTTATTGCACATATGATAACAATTTAAAAAATACTTGAACAACAAATGTGGCATGTTTTAATGATATATCACCAATATTGAGCAATTATTTTCAATAAAAAACTCTTTCAATCAATATCGGTATATGAAATTAAAAGTAGACATTATAAAACGTGGCTGTTTAAATACTATGTATCGAATATTTGATTGTGTCATAATTTCCCTAAATTGCCATTTAAATGACTCGCATCAATAATGAGTCAATTGGAATCAGTAACATCTTCCACATCGTTTTATTTTCTGTATGACGTATCTCTTACTATAATACTCCATTTTTGGTCCAATATTGTAAGCATCATATTCCACTCAATGACTTCTGCATTCTATCTCACCTTTTCTGTAAATAGGCACCCTTCCTTGTTTGTTGACAACTGACCATCTCTCGCTTTCCCCTGCTACCTTGGTGTGATCTTCCTTCAGATGTTCAAAGGTGATGTTTTTTTCGACTTCTTTTAGAAATGCATTGTCTCTTTTTACCTCGAGAAAATCGGCTAGCTTTACAAGAAAGTTGATAGTGTCCTGAAACGTTTAAAATATTATTAACTTTACCTAAAGATGAGTTATGTTACACAGTTATAAAATGTGTTTAAACTATACACTTAATAGTTGCTTATATTATTAGAACGATTTATCTTGTCATATACAAAGTGTACTGTAAATTTTGTAAATTTCGCGGGAATTTAATTCCATTATTTTCGCGGTCGCCGAATGTAGCGCGAAATTAAACATCAATTAATAATACCATGAATATACAGATAAAAAATAACTGGTTTTCCCTTTTACTACAGAATTATTGTGGTAAAACAACAACAAAATATCGGATATTGCGTTTATTTTATAAAACGCTTGTTAAATAAATCCCATTTCCCAAATATAATAGCACCTTTGTGAACGCGGTATGTCTGTCTAACAATTTTGCGAGAAAAATGTTTTCTCCACGAACTTTTCTGAATAACCGGGACAACCGTGAAATAATATCCCCGCTCAATTAAACAACTATACAGTACATAGTCAAAATGATAATAGCATAGTTAAACAAAACAGAAGGGTTATACCCTGTAATGAAAATAGAAGATACATATACAAAGGTATCATTAGCTAAACGTTCAAAGGTATCTATCCAAATATCATAAGACTCTTTCATATTTACCGGAGGTGGATAGAGAATTCCTCACGAGGGGATCAAAAATTGGGGTAAAACTCAAGGCTTTGGCCCAAATATGATCCGCGAGGTAGGAATTCCCTATCCTACTACTGTTACATATAATAGAGGATTTTTCTCTTTTATCGACCATCAAAAAACTACACTTCCCCACTCAATGCCCACAGACGGTCGCCATCTTCCAGGTTTTTTATAATACTTTTTTCGTGGTTTAAAAACAAAAATAACAGTAGAAATGAATTTTCCATACCCTCAAACCGCAACGTTGTTACACGCATAAACACAACACATTTCCTTTATAACTCTATGGTTTAGTTGTTATTCAACTTTCTATTTTCCATACGGCATTTTCTAATCGCCATCTTTGAACCTCATTGCTACTTACAGTACATCTCATTTAGTGCGCAGAGAAATATAGTTCCTAGTTGAAAATAGAAAACAAATAATGTTTTTGTTGTCAAATTTTTAATTCATGACTGATCATGTAATTAATTAATATAAATGAAATTATAGATACAATTTATAACTTGTAGCAGACGACATAGTGAGTTGTTCCCCTTAGGTTTTGTATTACTACGCGATGTGATTAGCCCATGTACGATAGACTCAGCAAGCATGGTTATCTTACACAGTCAGCGTTATCTTACATGACCAGATATGAGAGAAAAAGATATATATGATTGAACGATAACAAAGAACAGATAGATAGATTTCTAGCCATTCATTTGCACTCAATTTAAAAATAAAACTAAACGACACTCGATATGTATCGCAGCTGATGTAGTTTTATTACTTCTTTAAATGGCATACCTTCTTGAAATCTTCGTATCTAATCGACAGAATACGCATGTCTGGGTATAGCTTCCTGCCGTCCTCCCACTCCTTCATGTACGTAAACCAAGAACCACCCGACACAAAAACTGTGGGAAGACAATCATATCACTTGACTATATTTCATGTTATTTAATTATTTGTTGATTTGATACCAATATACTGTATCTTATTTTGCATAGACAAATGGATAAGAATCAAGTTCTCACAACTTAGAACATCTTCTCCATATAGACACAAATAAAATAATGCATTAACATCACTTGATATACAAATCACAAATACAGAAAGAAAAAAGTTTAGGGCAGAACAAGATCAAAATGATTATGAATAACTAACGAAAATCAAAATAATGCCGGTTCTTTGATACGACCAATGATTTAAATTTAATCAGTTATTTAATTCTTATTTTTGAGAATGTGGTTGTACTAATTTGTCGGGTTCTGCTACTAACAGGAAATATATGCAATATTGGATATAATTTGTGTATAGTTTGTTTCCCTGAAAATACATTTGAAAAGCTATATCCACGCAAACATTAAACCTTACGGTATAACTTATGTTGAATATTCTCTAAATTTGTTCAATGACACAAACATATGATTTACAGATATTATTTATGTATTATAAAGATATTATTGTCAAATTAAGGAATTATCTGAATAAATGACATTTTCTTATATATGAATGCTTAAAACAACCTATGAATGAGTTTGGAATTCAACTGAATCATAGTATAGTTCAATATCACGAAAAACAATTCATTTCTTCGGAACCGCCTATTAGGGCGTATACTCACATTCCTCAGATAAAAAGAACTTCATGAAAAAATTAAAGTCGCCTTCAAAATCCGTTTGAACCATGTTGTCAAGGAAATGGTAATAAGACACTAGCACGTCTTTGGGATTCCTAGAGACAAAGATGATCTTCGGAATTCCCTTTTTAGCCTCTGTCGGTATAAATGGGAAGGTGAAGTGTGTTAGAAATGTCCTTGGTGCCTCCATGTGTTCTATCAGATCGAGATCCTCAAAGTCAGCAACTATGGGTGTCCCGGAATAGGTCAATGTTCCTGATCTTAGCATCTGTATTGTATTATAGACCCAATGGGAACCTGTTGAAGTTATTGAAAGACAATGATCATACTTTTTATTTAAAGGGTGAGTGTCTAAAAGGCCCTTTTTGGGCCCCGGTATATCAGGATTTCTACCTCCTTATTGTGTTAAAAAATGTCATAGTTTATGTCATGCGCAAAAACAAAGGAAAAAGTTTGACCTAATGTGGGTTTTCGGGGTACCAAAAGAGGTAAGGTAATTCCCCTTTATAATTTGCTGAATAAGCTAAAACAACCAAAATAATACCATTTCTGTTTTTAAATACATGTGTAAATTAAACAGGCATACATTGCATATAAAATAATGAAAATGACAGAAATGCAATCGTCATTTAAAGATTGTTAATATAAAACGAAGGAGGGTTCTTCTTGGTAATTTTCAAATGAAAAGTGTTCTGTTTTCTCAATAATTTCCTTTCTTATGTATATTTTGAGTTGAAAGGGCCTATTTCCAGTAATGTTAATTCTCCATAGGAGCCTGCCCCCGTATAATTTCTTATCTAGCTCAACTACTGTTTTTTTCTTTTCCGAAGAATAATTTTACACCTTTCCGACACCCAGATTTCATAATTTCAGTGAAAATGTATTTTTATAAAGTTGTCAATTTCAGCATCAAAGACATAAGTTCGTAAATAAAAGAAGGTTATCTCGAAATTGTAATTCGCAACATAGTATAAATTTCTTTTGATAAATATTTCCAAAACATCGTGTTTATTCATAAAACATAAAAAAAAATATTCTCGGATGAAAATGCACTTGCAGAGACACAATTATGAAGAAAAATGCCATAAAATTGCAATTTTCTCCCGTTATATAGTTTTGGATGCAAATTTCCATCAGAAAATCGGATAGAGCTTTACTTGTTTCATATGTGTACCAAAAATCAGCTAATTCCATGTGGTGGAACGTTCTCATATCGCCGCCTGAATGTGGTTGTAAATTGAAAGAAAAGGGGAAATGAGTAACAACCTTGTCTGAAACCCTATTATATAGCTTATTATATACAAACTTTTATATTGAATATCAGAGCGGATATTTTCATGACAGTTTTATGATGTGTAACGACTAAATAAACAGTATCGATATAAAGATTTACACTGAGGACACCCTGATACATGAATACTGTTCTATCTCAAGTTGTCCTCTTCTGAATTTTCTGATCGTGTGGCCTTGTACATTTATCCGTATCTTCTTGTCTTTGTCTATACGTTTACGGAATCATTGACTCGACGCTAGCTATTCTTGTCTCACTTTCCTTGTTTTATTGTCCCATCTCCAAAGCGTTGTGGCTCTGTCAGGGTTGGGACCCTGACTTGTCTCACTTTCTTTGTGCCTGCCGACCACGCCACATCGAATAGATAGATTATCCATATGAAATACTTTATTTTGTTCTAAGTAATCAATCAATTCTGCGCTTCTTGGAGGTATTGAATGTGATTTATTATATTGTCTTGTTATTTTGTGTAATTAGTTGTTCGTTATTTATCACACATTTTCGCATAATTGTACCAAACTACTAAGTATTAGCTGTTTACAGCAATCATCGGTGGCTTGCTATTTTGTTACTTTATCGACGCTTCATAAACCAATCGTTATTGTTTCAAGATGGAGGGTAAATGTGTTGGAGAAGGGTGTCAAGTATACTTCAAGAAACGTAGTGGCAATAAGAACAGAAGTGCACGCAATGTAAATAGTCCACAATATAAATGGCTCCTAGATACGCTGGTGCAACAAGGATTGATGTCAGCAAAGGAACAAGCACTTATTTGCCAGAAGTGCTACATGAAGTATCTTCGGAACAAAAATCAGCCTGAACCTGAACCCGAGCAGAACCAGGAAATAGAGGAAGAAGACGACTCCCCGTCCCATATCCTGCCGTTGCTGACCCTTCATGATCTTTTGAATGGATCATCTTCACACAAAAAATGCTGTCTCTGTCTTGTTACCTTTGCAAGAAATGGAACAAAATCATCAGTCTTACCAAAACGTGCAAGACATCACCTGATCTATTCACACAAACTGTGGTGTCCCACCTCATCCCGCGTCTGCTCCATTCACCTTATTGGTAACGACTTAGATCCGTCTACAGAGGTTGTCCTTGATGGTAGAGGTTCCTTGGAATCTCAGTTACCATCAAAATCGTCCGAAATCATTAATGACCTCCTAGAGGTGTCGCACGTCCTTTCACAGAACCAGTCTGCGTTTACAATAAGCTTTTCTTCTCTTGATGACTCGGCATGCATGGCCTGGACAGGTTGGTCCAAAGATCAGTTCCTCGAAATCCACTCGCACTGTTCCCCATATCTTTCATCTGGTATATATACCAAGACTACACACGATGCTCTATTACTGTTCTGGGTAAAACTGAAAACCGACATTTCCTGGAGTCAGTGTTCTTCTCTTTTTGGAATTTCCAAGTCAAGTGTGTCCAAAACTTTCCACTCCATAGTACAGGCATTAGACACATCGATAGTCCCACAATTTCTAGGTCCGGATCACTTGACAAGAGAACAGTTGCTCGGGCACAATACTGTCTTTTCAGAAGCATTTTTTGGAGATAAAGCCACTGCCATATTAGATGGCACCTATATTTATATCCAGAAAAGCTCCGACCACAAGCTCCAGAGAATGTCCTACTGTGGCCAGAAGAAGAGAAACTATCTCAAATTCATGAGCATCGCCTTACCAGATGGCTACATTCTGGACACAGTAGGACCATTCACTGGCAGCGAAAATGATGCTACAATTACAAAAAAAGTCATGGACAAGCTAGTTACTTGGCTACAACCAGACGACAACGTTGTCGTTGACCGAGGTTTTAGAGATGTCCTACCAGTTCTCGAAGCCTCTGGCCTCAATGCTAGCATGCCGTCATACCTGAAACCCGGTCAAAGTCAACATTCTGACGTCCAAGCAAATCTTGACAGAACTATCACCAAATCGAGGTGGATTGTGGAATCCTATCATGGTCGTCTGAAACACTGGACGTTCTTCCGAACGCAATTGGTGTCTAACAGCTTTATCAATGTCATCGAGGCTTTGCTTCGAACCGTCACAGCCTGTCTGAATGGTATTAGAGGACCGATCTACCAGAGATCTCCAGAGAGAGATGCCAAAGATAGGCTAATGGCTGAACGTATGAAGGACCGTTTGACAACACCGAATGGTTTAGCTCAGAGAGTCAAGACAGATCCGGATCTATCTAGACGGGCAAGGTCCGAGTTTGTCAAGATGGATGCATCTTCCGTACTGTTTCCCCGTCTCGATCTTGATTACTTGAGAACCATTACGTGTGGAACGTATCAGATATCTCTGGCTCCTGGTTACATCGCCGAACATTTAAGTGATGACGGAGACTATGAGGTGTGGCTTTACCAGCACTCCCCAGACCTTCTCCGATGTCAAATACATTCTCGACACAAAAGCCAAACGAAATATAACGTTTGGATACGGTTCACCGTTTCACCCGATGTTGAGGCCCCAATAAAGGACTACTACTGCCAGTGCCCAGTTGGAGAGAGAACGATGGGAATGTGTGCGCACATCTCCAGTATCTTGTACTACCTTGGGTATTACAGGACGCTGGAAAACCCTCGACCATTACAACCACAGGTAAAGAAATTCCGACAAAACTTGAAATAGTTTTCCATGCGGCAACGGAGTGCATATGTCGAAAGTATGTTTGGGGCTCGATATGAAAGATCCCCGTTACCATGTGACTAACCAAACTTATAAATATAGGTATTATACAATCGCCCGTAGCTATGAACACTCCCGTAAATGCGAAAACCAACCAAAATCATAAGGAACACGTTTTGTTTGTTGTTCTGTCTATTTGTCAGCCAATGTCTTCAACCACGGGGACTTGTGAAGTAGCCATCTTGGATTTTTTTTATGAAAAAGTGTTTCTCTCACTTTTTTTCATATCTGTGTACATATTCTCAACATACCGAGCAAATACTCTCGTTTTTTTGTTAATTATCTAAAGAAAGTCGAAAATCGGCAATTCAACCATAGGCTAATTCAACCCAACATTTGAAAATGTTCCACCACTTACATTTTGATGATTTTTCCTCTCATCAATAGCATATTACGTACTGTTTAATAGGATAAAAATTGGTTTGCATCCAACGCCCATAAAAGGGTGTATTCTCTAAAAAACACAGTTTTTGTGTCTAAAATGTTATCATCGAAAATGGCATTTTTGAGATTGTTTCTTCCATAAAACAGCCAAATGGCGCGATGGAAACATGATTTTTTGTCACAATCATGCCATGAATGTATTCTTTACGGTGACCATCATTTGATTAGATTTTCATTAATATTTTACATAACATGCACATTTTATCAACACTTAGACAGCTTCTGAAAGGTACAACTTTGAGGAGCCATAAAAAACAAACCAAGTGACCTAAATCTTTATACTTTATAGATTTGTGACCACAACGGCATGGGCAATGTACCACCAACAGGAAATTTGAATAAGAGAAGGGGCCGTTTTGGAAACCGGCCCTTTACAACCTCACTCATTTGAGTACAGTTACATAAAATGCATATTCACTACGAAGTTTCTTTTTGTTTTATACTGAGTTATTGCTATTAGACACATCTCAAGCCTGGCTGTTTCAAATACCGCTCTATCCTAAGTGAATTAAAAGATGCAGGAAATCCTTTATATGTTTCAAGTAAAAGTATAATATATCAATAGTTTATATTGTATACTACATATATTAGTATAATATGATATGTGCTCAGCACCTGTGGCTAAATAGAGTTGCAGGTCCTGATTTGTTTTCTCGCTTATCAAAATTAACTTACAAATAAAAAATGGCAATTGCCATCACAACTACGGTAAAATGATTAATTTCATTATCATATTATGAAGCTTGTTCTGCTAATTTAAGTTTCTTAGCCTCAAGGAAAGTATTTGCTTTAATCGTTGAAGTTAACACAATCATTGTTTTATCAGCT